TTCAACCTGAAAACACAAATGAAAACCACAATAAAGTACCATTTCAGACAGTAGAACGGCTAAAATAAAAAAGATAGTAACAAGTGTGGTCAAGGATGTGAAGAAACTAGAACCCTCAAACACTGGTGAAAGGGTTGCAAAATGGTGTGGCCACTTTGGAAACAGATTGGGAGTTTCTCAAAATACTGAACATAGAATTACTGCATGACTCGGCAATCTCACTTCAGGGTGTATAACCAGGAGAAACGAAAACACATGTCCACACCAAAACTTGCACACAGGTATCCACAGCAGCACAATTCACAGAGCCAAGTGGTAGGAACAGAAATGTCCATCAGCAGACTCAATCTGATCTATCCAGAGGATAGAATGGAATACGTGTTGCCTGACAATAAAAAGAATGAAGACGTGCTGTGTGTTACCATGTGGATGAACTTGAAAGCATCAAGCCAGATACAAAAGGCCACCCATTGTGTAATTAAATTCATAAGCAACGTCCAGAGCAGGCAGGAAGTAGGTCATTACTTGCCAGGAGCTGGAAGGAAGGTAAATGGAAATGACTGCCAGTGAGTATGGAGTTTCCCTTGGGAACAACAAAAAATATTCAGGTTTTATGTAGCAGGGGTGGTTGGACAACTATATAAATATACTAAGAACCACTGACCTGTATACTCTAAACAATGTGAAACATGATACATGAATTAGTTCTCAATAAAGCTATTGCTTTAAAACTAGATTGAAAACCAGTTCAGTTAGAAATGGATAACAGACATGGACATTTCACCAAAGAGGATGTGAGGATGGCCGATACACACATGGCATTCAACATGATCAGCTAGCAGGGAAGTGCACACTGGAAATCACAATGAGATGCCGGACCATGTCTATTAGAATAGCTTATATAAAACAGAATGAAGAGGGCTGGGGATTTAGCCCAGTGACTCAAGTGCTTGCCTGGTAAGTGCATGGTTCTCAGTTGAACTCTCCAGTACCCAAAAATATATATAATGAAGAAAATGCTGGAGAGGATAGAGGAGAACAGGATCACTCTCATGCGTTGATGTCAGGAATGTAAAATGGCATGATCCCTCTGGAAAATGATGCAGTGGTTTCTTTCAAAACAAAAAATAGATTTGCCATACAGTTCAACAATTGTAGGATAAATTGAGCATTTATGTCACAGCAATGAAAACTTGTTTTCCATGAAAACTAGTACAAATATGTTCACATTAGTAACTTTATTCTTGATAACCCAAAACTGGAAACGATCCAAACATCTTTAATGGACAAAATGATCAAAATATCTATAGCTCATGCATACCATGGGCTAGCAATAAAAACGAGTTAACTGTTAATACATACTGTAACTAGAATGAAATTTAAGGAAAGTATGTCGGTGAGAGAAGCCAACCCCAGCAGGTGTGCGCATGCTGCATGTTTCCATTTATGTAACATTCTGAATGACGTAACAATGGGCATGGAGAGTAGACCAGTAATTTGCAGGGGTTAGAGATGGTAGGGAGAGAAGTGGGTGTGACTTTCAGGAGGTAACACAAAGGACAGTTGGGGTGATGACACAAGTCATTCTCTTGTTTCTGAAGGTAAATATGAAGCTCTGCATGTGATAAAATTGTACACAGCTGCACACACACACATATACACAGAGATGAAGACATGTGTAACTGATGAGTTGAATAAACTCTGTGGATCACATAATGACCTTCCTGGTTTCGATCTTGTGTGGTAGTGCTATATGCTGCTATAAGCTGTGACATAGATGAGGCTGTGTGACAGCTTCATGGGTCCCTCTCTGTTCACTGTTTGCTTCTTTGCACGTTCCTGCGAATATGTAAAAAAAAAATAGTTTTTGAAAAAGTTAAATTTATCTTTACCTGAAATTTACTTCTGCTGCTGAATTCCTTAATTCCACAGCCACAGTTGTGAAAGCCAGATGGATATCAGCCTAGGCTCCTCCTCCTCCTCCTCCTCACTCTCAACAACAAATAATACAGTAATAATCTGAGCAACATTGAATGCTTCCTTTCTTCCAGGCACTACATTTACACATTTCTGTGGCTGGTGGAATTTCTTCCTGATATCAATTCTTGTTCTTCATATTCTAAAAATAAGGAAGCTGAGGATTTGAAACACTGATGGCTTGACTGAGGTTACACAGTAAATTAGGATGCAGCTGTGCCATACACACTTGCAAGGTAAAGCACCCTGCATGTAAGGCTGTCCCCTGGCTTCCTCATGCAAACATTTTAAGCATTTTTATCAACTTGAATATGTAAATGTTCAGTATTATGGGTGAAACAAGCACTCATCAACTTACAAGGATTCACATGACACGCACTTGTGATGACAGAGCATGAAATATAGTTTGGAACTGTTACTACCCTCACTCTCCCATATTCTAAAATAATTTAATTCAAATGTTTCATATCCATTTTTAACACCTGTGTTCATAGTTTTTATCAAACATAGATTTTCAGCATAAACCATCTTCATTTCTATGTTATTTCAAAAGTAAAGCTTTTGAGTCTATGCATAATACTGTCCATGAAAAGCACATTCCAAGCTAAAAGGGCCAATTTATACACATTAAGAAAATATACAAATTGTTTTTAAAAATTTGCTCTGTAAATCAGTAGTTCTCAATGCTGGCTGGAGAAGTATTTTTAAACTTTTTTTTTATTTAAAAAAAAGATTAAAATAAGAGAGGACATAACAAAACAGGTCAGAATAGAGCAATTTAAGCAACATAGTGTTTCACCACAAGACAACCCAACATAACAGTAGTTACCATAGTGTCTCTTTCCTTGAAATATTTGAGTATATCTTCATACACTATAGTATCAAACATAACAAGACAGTATTTTATAGGATATTCAGTACCAACTAACAGAAAACAAACAATGGTTACTATATTATCTCCTTGTCCATAAAAAATTTTGTTTATACTATCACATATAATAAAATCCATTAAGATACAACGTGATAAAACTGATGGAGACAGAAGAACAAAATCTTGGTGGGACTTCAAAACAAGATGATATTAAATCAGCACTAACTATTATAATGTCTTGTTTTCTTTAAAATAACTGTTCATATCATCACAGATAATAAAATCAAACAACCCAAAATAAAACCATTCCCACTAATGAATGAGAACATTATAAGGCTTCAAAGCAATGTAATGGGGAATCATGATTACCATCAAATCTTATGTACTCTTACCATTTCTTACACTAGAGACACTATATGGTATTTATACATGTGAGTTTGATTTATTTTGCTTATGAGTATGGTATCAAGTTGTGTCCATTTATTTATTTATTTATTTTTTGTCTTTTTCTATCAGTACCGGGGATTGAACTCATGACTGCCTGCTTGCAAGGCAGGTGCTTATGCCGCTGAGCTAAATCCCCAGCCCCGTGTCCATTTATTTATAAATATTTCAATGTGATCATTCTTTATAGCTGAGTAGTATTCCATTGTATAAAAATACCACAACTTTTTTATCCATTCCTCAGTTGATGGACACTTGGGTTGTTTCTAAGATCTGACTATTACAAATTGTGCTGCTATAAACATGAGTACATAAATATCACTGTGGTATGATGTTTTCAGTTCTCCTGGGAATATGCCTAGAAGTGAATAGCTGGGTTGAATGGGACTTCCAATCTCAGCTTTTTGAGGAATCTCCAGACTGACCTCCACAATGGTTGCACCAGTCTACACTACCACCAAGAGTGAAGGAGAGTTCCTTTTTCCCCACAGCCTCTTGGCTGGAGAGTTTTTAAATCCACCAATGCTGCCTCATGTACTTGCCAAAAAAAAAAAGAGTGGTTTTACTGACCTGGTTGTTTAGACTGGCTCTATGCGGCTTGTTAGCTTGTTTGTTGTTTTTGTGGTTTTGGAGATCACAGCCTTGTGCATGCTAGGCAAGTGCTCCACCACTGGGCTGCATCCCCGGCCCAGGACTGCCATTTACTGAAGCTTCTTCAGTGATTTTCATGTGCAGCCTGGTTTTGTGAACCACCACTTCAGGGTACAATGACAACTCCTGCAATGTAAGTTGCAAGTTCTTGATTACACATAAGAATTACTTGGAAAGCTTTGGAGCCACAAGTTCTACTGCCCAGGTTTTAGCCTCATCCTGAGATAATAATTTTTCTGGGGTTAGGCCCCAGGCAGTCTTAGTTTTAATAATTCTAGTGGATCTCTTTGGCAGCCATAATTGAGAATCTTCAATATTACCACTCAAGGGTATTGCTTTACCAGCGAGCTTTGTGTTTTACCCTCCAGTGTTTGTGGTGACAAGGGCACATCCAGTGACTCCAAAAGTGTGCTGAGTTTCTTTGTTTTGTTCTGTTTCTGTTGTATCCAGTGGCCTCTAGGAACATCCAAAGATAGCACTGATAGGGGACATTTTCAACTAATTTGACTTCCCTAAATAGTACCGAGTTGTCTTAAATAAAGGAATTGAAAGAGTGCCCCATGGGATGAGAGATTTTGTCAGGATTCCACTAGGAAGCAATTCCTCTTTTTCTGAAAGTTAGACAGGAATGAAAAGTCCCTGTGTTTTTACACCTAAGATTAACAGTCCCCCTTTTGTGTAGTCCTTACTATGCCCAGGCCCCATGTTCAGTGTTTACTGACCTGTTCTTGTGAACTCCTAAGGATACACAGAGAACTCATCACTATTATTATGCCCATCTTGCCGAAGAAGAAATCAAAGCATAGAGTCACTTTGCTTGAGAGACTGTGCCCAGGTTTCTGTACCCAGCGCTGTGCTCCCTCCTTCTGGCCTGGCCTCTCAAAATACTTTCCCAAGAAGCTCCAGGGTTTGTATGGCTGCCCCTGATCAACAGCATGGCAGACAGACTGATGTCATGGCGAGAGTCAGAGCACTGGGGAGAGGGTCAGCACACGCTCCCTCCTCCTCCCTTTTGTGGTCCAGCCCAGACTGTCCCCTCCCCCGTCCACAGCATTCCCTGGTTTCCAGCTCTGTGACATCACACACAGCTTCCTGCCTATCTGCCAGCTGCAGGTGAGTGAGGCTCAAATGTCATTCCCAGGAGTGGAGGGAGAGCCTTTCTGTACTGAAACGGACAATGGAGGTCTGTTCACTTCTCTAGAAACAGACGCTTCGCATGACCTCCCTGTTTCTCTCTGTGGTCCCCTGACCTGTGGCAAATGACCCCAAAGGCCTCTCCAGCCATAGAATCCCCTTGTGCCTAACCTCATTGACCTGGCTCATTCTGATCAACATGGTGTGGCATCACTGGGGATCTGAGGCCCACAGCCCTTTGGGGAACAACCCCAGAGACTTTTCTTTAGCTCCTGCTTCCATCTAGAGGAAGACACTGGAAGTGCAACACTGCCCACGCCCCCAAGCATGCCCCCTGCATCTCCATCCTCATCACCAGTTACATTTATGAAGCCTTTTCCACCATTAGTCAGTCCTCACAAGCCCTCTCCTGGAGATGCTGTTTTTTTCTCATTTCATAATCAGAAAACTGAGGTTCAGAAAGGTTAAATTCTCCTACAGTGTTCTTCCAAGAAGTTGATCTTTAAGAACTGCACCCTAAACAAGTGCTTGTAACTGCTGCTGGGCTCTCACTAGGAGTCTTTCCACTTCTCAAGAGGGTTCAAAAGTTCAAAGCCCTCCACTGCAGCATTGGAAGGGAAAGTGGCTCCACCCCGCTGTCCTTCCTGTGACACCACCTGGTGAAGTCCTGGATTCAGATGAGAATCCATCATCAACCCCTGTGGCCCTGCTCATGTGGAATGATCCGGAAAGACTTAAAATGTACTACTAGTAAGTCACCCATGTGACCCATATTTAAAAGGCAAGATAAATATTTACATTTTTTTCTACATCAGTAAGATGCTTTAAAGGAAGAAATTGTCACTCAATATGTGGAACAGAAGCAAATCCCCTGGTGGTTAAACATGCTCATAGGCAGTTGCTGATGAATAAGGGGTAGGGCAGGTGTTAGATTCCCAAACTGTCCTATTTCAGGCCAAAAGCTCATTGTAAATTTAACTACTGGAATGTGTCTCTCACTTTCAGGAGACTGGTGACCGTGACAAAGTTTCATTAATGGGTCCACAGGTTTATCACAGGTTCTGGGGATTACAGAGCATCTGTCTTTACCTGAGAGTATGGGTGCTTCATAGTTTACTCTGTCTCCATCCCCAGGTCCTCCCTCCACCACAGCTGTGGGCAAGATTCTTCAATGTCCCAGCCTTGCTTGAAAAAAAAAAAAAAAAAAACACAGTCCATCTTGCCATTCACAGAGATGTGTAGTGTTTGGTTTGTCATTCAGCTTGGCTCCTCTTCATTTTAGTCTCTGAATCATTTTTGGCTACTCATTAGATCAGAGACTGCCTAAAGGCATTCGATTCTCTGCATACGACATACAGAGCAACAGGAGATAAGCTGTAATGATTGGCATATTTTAAGAAGAACCCAAAGGGATCTCTGGAATCACCACCCATGAGTTCTGAGACACAGCCATTTATTTGAGAGAGCTAAGCTGCCTAGTCCTTTGGCTGAGACACAGATTAACTTCAGCCAACCATAAATCTAGGGGGCAGAGTGTTAGCAGTGGCACAGGCTACCCTGATTAGCCAAAATAAAACACAGTAGCATTCTATCATCCACAGTTACTTGAGATAAAAGTTTTAAACTGGCTGTACCCCAAAGACTGGGCTATGTTATTCACTATGTCAGCCACTGTAAAGAAAACTGCACATCTTGATGGCCCAACTTACAATCCTCAGCAGTCTGCTCCCCATCAGCAGTGACAGCCCTGAGAAGGGTTCCACTCACTGAGACTCCGAGAGAAGACAGTTCAATTGAGGGGCTTTGAGCCATCCTCTTGAAATGATGCATTTGTCCCATGGAACAATTAGCTTAGTCCCATTTAGCATTGAAGAATAAGCCACAGGCAGTATTTTTGGCCATCCCCATTACAGATGATTTCCTTGGAAGTTTGGAAGAGAAATAGGAAAGTGTTGAGTGCTAAGATCTAGAAGAAACATCAGTGGACAGATGTGCGCAACTGTCCCTCTGATACGGAGTATCAGTTCTCCCAATGGCCTTTCTACATACTAGATGTTAAGTGTCCTTAATCCAATCTCCACATTCTTATAGAGGAATCTGGCCCTGTGTGTGCTTTGAGAGCCAACTGTTTTATCCAAGAGACTACAAGATCATTTTGATTTCTAGCGGATATTTTAGATAGGTGCAGCGGTAGCTCAGTGGTAAAACATTTGCCTAGCACATATGAGGACCTGAGTTCAATCCTAAGCACCACAGTGGGAGGAAAAGTGGCTCTAGTTAGTATTTTAGGACTCTAAAAATAACTAGGATATCTACATTTATACTTCCCATTCTAATGTATTTATTCTGAGTCCTCCTAATGTCCGAGCCCTTTGCAATGGAAGAAGAGGTGTCCTTTATTTAAGCTCTTGGTCTACCACAGAATTTTCTCCTACAGTGTCCAGCATTTTGTGCTACACTAATGATTCACCTTCACTTTGCTTATGCTTCTGAATCATCATCCTGTCTTCCTCTATGAAAAGACTGTCAGAATGGTTTTATGTAGCACATTTCCTATTTTCCTTACTTTCTCAAATCTGATTTTACTAAATTATACATAAGTGGGCTATTTAAACATTCCAGAATTCCATCAAACTGTTTTTAAACATTTTTCAGCATCCCTGAAGGTCAACATTAGAATGAGCTTTTGGTACAAATACTATAATCCAGAGCAGTAAGTAACTAACAGAAACCTGTACTGTATAGAAACATTCTGTTGTTCTAAAGTTTGGAACAGTTCTAAATATTTGCTGACAGCTAACTCTCAGCCATGGTTTAAATCCATGGATTCACTGGATTCACTTTCTGGTGTCAAAGATTTAAGGATTAGTATGTGTGACTATTTTCTAGAAAAAGATTCCCTGAAGAAAGTATTAGGCAGCCATGAGGAAGTATAGGATGAGTATAAGTAGATGGTAAAGAAAAACCTTGGTGGAGAGAGAAAAATGCAAAGAAAATAGATTTCAGAATGCTTGAGTAGGATAAAATCTTGCATTTTTTTCTCTTCCTTTTCCCCCTTTCTGAGGCTAGAGTATGACAATCAGAGAAGCTCTATGTTAAGTATTCGCTGTTATATTTTCCTGTTCTGTTTAAAGAAAAGTCCATCTTTAAAGCTTTTATTTTTTACAACAGAAGTTTGCCATAATGGCCATGATAAATCCAAATTATCTACTGACATGTTATCATTGATTAAAATATGCCCTTAAGAGTACACAAAATGGGAGCTTATGTGCAAAGTAGGTTCTCCTTTATAATGTTAATGTAGAGGAGACCATGACAAATGGGAAGGGTACACCAGCAGCCCCTGAAAGAGGCCACATTCTGGCACACCGGAAATCTCTAACTCCAAGATACAGGCTGAGTGAAGTGACACTGTGTGTGATACAACAAGACAGAACACGTGCTCACAAATGCTTGCAGGACCCAAGTAAAAATTTCAGCACTTTCCTGTAAACCAGTGGGTCACCGGCCTAGTAGAGACTAAGCCTTAGTCTTCAGTGAGACTGTGGTGAGAGCCTGTCAGATTCTACGCTCTGCTCCTTTCTTAGGAAGGCAATCTGGAACAAATCAAAACCCCACGAGGCAAACATTTGTGTGAGCAGATGAAGAATATTGAAGTTAAAGCAATCAGCAGAAGATTACACAGATTAATGGCAAGGGTAATGGTACATCTCCAAAACAAGATCTACTTACTTTATATACATTTCTATTCATTTTATAAATCTTGCAAAATGAATCCATTAAAAGAGAGCACATAAAAATACATCAGTGCTCAAATCAGCAAATTCACCGGCAGCAGATTCAGAAAGAGGACTAGAGACTGGGCTAAATGCACCAGGTGAGCACCACACCCCGCTTACAGCCAAGGACCCCCACCTGCTGAGTGTCCAGCCTGCTGAGTACCTCTAACCATGAGGAGTAACAGATGCATAGGAAGTTAAAGATCTGTCAGTGCAAGGGAGAAAAAGTTGTAGACACATAGTTATTATACAGCAGTCAGAGAAGCCTCATGAACAAATAATTATAAGGTCCCCATTCTTCATCTATCCCTGCACTGCATGCTGGGATTCAAGGAAAAGAAAATACAACCCATGCCTCCATGTGAGTGGAGCATTTGCCTATTATTAACTTGTTACTGCATCTCCAACACCAAATAGTAGCTGGCACATAGTACGTGCTCAATAAATGTATATGAACTAAATGGAAAGAACTCATGCTCTATCACCCACATCACACTTAAGCAAAAACTTAAAGGTAAAGACACCCAGTAGTTATCCAACTGAACAGCAGTTCAGACGGGAAGGTAATATGCGGACAAATTCCCGAACTGAGAGTTTAGTGTGCTCTGAAAATTACCGAGGAGGGTTGGGGATATAGCTCAGTGGCACAGCACCTGCCCAGCAAGAGAGAAGTCCTGAGTTCAATTCCAAGTACCAAATATAAAAAGTAAAAATAAAAATTATCATGGAGGCCAGTGTGCTTAGTAGGAATCCAGAGGGAGGAAACAGGAATTGAAGGCAGGGAGTTGGTGGTGAGAGAAGGGAAATTTGATGATGAGAGAATCCTGACATACAGGTCTTCTGAAGAATGTGAGAAACCACTGAAAGACTTGGGGGGAGGAGGGTTAAGAGAAAAAAAGGTGTGTTTGTGCACTGTACCCACAAACACACACATACTTAGAGCACATTACATTTTCCTCTGGCACTCTTCTCGCCTCTCAGCATTTTTTAAAAGCCTAGATCTTCTGAAGACAAATTATCACCATTTTTCTTTATTTTTAAATTTCTTTATTTCATCTTCATTGCTGGAAGATATTTTCACTTAATAAAGAGTTCTAAGATTCTTTCCACATTTGAATGTGTTGAATTGTCTTCTAGCTTGCATTGCTTCTGATGCAAAATCAGCTGTCACGCTTGTTCTCTTTTCCTTATTTTTCTGATTACTTTTAAGATTTGGACTCTTTGGATTTAGATTTGGAATAAGATTTTGATTTTTTTTTTTTTTGTCTTTTTCCTTTTTACCGGTCCTGGGGATCGAACTCACTGCTTGCAAGGCAGGTGCTTATGCCGCTGAGCTAAATCCCCAGCCCCCAAGATTTGAATTTTTCCTTTTGTAATTTGGTTTTGGTTATTTGATTATAATTTGCATCAGTATAAGTTTATGTTTTTCATGTTTTTATCAAGCATTTATCAAGTATTTATGTAGATAGTCCATTAAATTTGGAAAAATTTTCAACCATTCGTGATTCAAATGTATTTTCTTCCCTTTTCCTCTCCTTCTGAGAGTCTAGTCACATGCATGTGTCAGGTCCTTCTGACTCTGGCTGCTCTCCTCAGCCTTCCTAAAATCTTTTTTAGCTCTTTGCTTTAGTTTGGATTTCTATTGAGCTTTTTTCAAGTTCACACAGCTCATTCCTTCTGCTACCCAGTTTGTCATCAGTGTTCCCTTAATACATTATTTCTTAGAACTAGAATTTCTATTTTATGCTATTTCAGAGTTTTTGTTTCCTTTTTAGTACTATTATCCTTCTAATTATTCTATCAATTTTTCCTGTCACCAGAAATTGTAAGCAGTTATTGTGTGACATAACACTTTTTAATAGAACTACCCCAGATTCTGTATTAATCTTTAAGGACCCTACTGAAATAATTGGAACAATAGATAATGGTAGCTCGGACCAGACTAGATCATCACAGACAAAAAAAAATGAAAAGAAAGAACCACTGAGGGGAATACTTCACCAAATGAATGGAGTGTTAGAGGGACAACCAACCAATAATGTGATAAAAGGAACTTTTATCACCAGAAAAGACCAAGAATGGGGAGTGTCCAGAGATCTGTAAAAGCTCCTTCACAAAGGAGTTTAGCACTAAAATCCTCCTATTGTTGGGTCATCTGTACTAAAAGATCCCTGATGAGACCATCTTGCCTAACTTCCTGTTTCCTCTTTGGAGGAACCTGAAACACAGCAACAAGCATGGATTTACCGAAGCATTTCTGCAAGTTAGCCCCAAATCTGGGATTTGAACATATGCAACTCTGCCTTTCCTTACCGCATCCCTGTGGGCCCTGGAGGCTGTAGGCTGAGAAGGAAATGCAGTGACCATTAACTGAGCACCTATAATCTATCCACCTCCACAGGAGTCACTTGGTATTTTTTAACCATTTACTTCTGCAAGGTAGGCCCTATAAAAATTCCCATTCTCCATATGGTAAAAGTAAGGTTCAGAAAGGCGAATGTAGAAGTCAGGTAGAATGCAGATCTATCAAAAACCTAAGCATAATATCTGCATTTCTGCAGGACCTGGTATCTTGCTGCAATGGGTCCTGGCTAGTGTGTAAACACTGAGTACTAACATGTCTTAAATTACAGCCTTGTGTTCATTTAGGAAACAGCCCTGAGCGGTGACCTGGGCTCAAATTCAAGATCAGTTCATTCAACACAGCATCTCTGCAGAAAAAGACTTCAACTCCTTGCCATGGGTAAGAAACTTCTTTGGTACAAAATACCCAAAGAAAAATGGTTTTAAAACAACCCAACTTAGGCATGAGTCACCATCCTGGATCTTTTGGTCATGAGGAACCACAGGGGACTTGGAAAATGGGAGGAACACTGTGACTTGGGAGAGGGAAGTCCAATCGACTCCCACCACAGTACATCTCCAGTGCGCGTGTTGGATTTGGATCCCCAAACCCATGGCCCTTATTCTTTTACCTTCTACAGCAGCCCACAAAAACCTGGCTTCAAAGATCCTCTGCTTCTGCTGCAGGGACTGTGAGCAGCCCCAAAGCATTGAGGATCCCAAGGTTCCCAGTGAAACCCAGGAGAAGCAGCCATTGAACAACAGTATGTAGCAGATCGTGGCACCCCACCTGGCCCCTCTAAGCCTCAGTTCACTATCTGCCTCCTGCTGAGACACCCCTTACATTTCCTTTGTCTTATGATACTGGCAACCTACAGTGAGGTATTGGTGGCTAAGTACCCAAACCAGTTAATGAAAAAGTTTAACATCTTACCACCTAAAGTATTTCTATGGCACAGTGATATCAGCATCACCAAGTCACTGTTAGAATGCATTTTCAGAACCTACTCCAGACCTCCTAACCAGAACCTGAAGTTTAACCTGATCTCCAAGTAAGTCTGAGTGTGCATTACAGTTTGAGAAACACCAGGCTAAAGACCATAAAGATAGTAATTAAGATCACTACCTTTGGGGGCTGGGGATTTAGCTCAGCAGCATAAGCCCTGCCTTGCAAGCAGCCGGTCGTGAGTTCGATCCCCAGTACCAATTTTTTAAAAAAGTTAAAAAGATCACTACCTTTGGATAAGTAAATGTTAGTTCAAGTCTCAGCTTTCCCACAGAAATTGAGCAAGTCACTTAACTTCCCTGAGCCACAATTGTCCTTATCTGTACAGTGGAAATATTTATAATACATTGTCATTCTTCAGGATCATTGCAAAATGAAGAAAGATGCATAAGCACCTATCACAAGACCCGATAAAAATAGGTACTTAAGAAATGGAACCCAAATGAGAATTAGTCAGGTTAGGATAGTTCTGCTGTTAAAACAAACAAGTTTTGAAACTCCAGTGGTTTACAAAGTATCTTTCTGTTCATGCAGTCTAGGAAATATCAGCCATTTGCTTTTCATTTTTAGCCATCTGGAGCATGAGGTTCCTTGCTCACGGTGTCAGCGGAAGAGAGGGACAGAAGGCATGGTGGGCTTCAGTTTGTAATCCTTAATGTTCCAAGACAGTAGGTCAAGCCAAAGAAGATTGGGGTTAAAATCAATTTCAGGCAGATAAATAAAAGCATGATCATCAAGATCAGGCAAGGCTAGGACTGACAGACAGTTGATGAGGCAGGAGGCTTTCAGGAATCTGTCACAATCCCACTGAGAGCAGTACAACGTCAAGGAAAAACAGCATGGCATATTTTGCCAGATATCCGTGAGTTGGGGCTCTCAAAAGACTTCTTTTGGAAACACTTTCACAATAAAAATCAAGGACCTTAATGCCAGTACTTTTTCCTAAGATGATAATAATGTTAACCACTGAGCCCTTACCACATGCAAAGCACTGTCTAGGCACTAGCTGTGGTCAGATGACTCCTCTAGTGTTTCATAGTTGACACGGTACTAGTAAAATGCTATGTAATCTTGTCCAGTCACTCTAAGAAATGAGCTTGGGCTGGGAGAGAGCTCAGTGCACAATGCCTGCCTGGCAAGCACAGTCATGAGTTCAATCCCCTGTACTCACCCTCCCCAAAAGAAATGGGCTTTATTACACACAATTAAGATTTCATTTTGCAAGTGTGAGAGAAGATGCAGAAGAAAGTTAAACAACTTGTTCAACATAAACCACTAGACACGATAGAGCTATTTATCCTATTATGGAACACAGCTCAGTTTGATAAAAATCATTTGTGACACTTCTAGAAGTGCATGAAAATGAAGCTTTATAAACAACAATGTTCATTACAACAGTCTTTACAGTAGTAAAATTGGAAGAGTTGAAACATCCATTAACAGGTTGTTGTTTAAATAAGCTGTGATGTAAAATTTTATACAACCATTGAATTAGCCATAAAGTACAATATTGCAAAATCATTACTTTTAAAGTTTAATGACATAACAAAATGTTTATAACATATGAAAAAATAAAAAATATATATAATACATAAGACATAATGGAAGATTTAAAATATTCATAGGAAAAAAAACATTATCTGGGGAGAAAGGTTTGAGGTGTTTTTTTTTCTGCTTCCTACTATTGAATATTTCTTAACTTTTCTATAATTGAAACCAATTACATTTTTTAAAGATAAAATATTAATGTTTTAATAAGATTGTATATTGTGAATACAGCACCCATTCACAGGACAACACACTTGAGAGAGAAGCAGGTAGATTTAGATGCTCCCCTGCCCCATTACCCTAACCCGCCTGTGGGTACCGCCGCTTCAAGAGCTGCTAACAGCTCCACACCCATGATCCGTCTGTCTCTGAGCCTCCCTGTGGAACCTCATGGAATTCTCACTGTCAGGTCTGCAGCTTCAGAAGGAAGAGCTCGACAGACAAAATTCCAAGCACACTGACACCAGATGCCTGATGTACCCAGCCAAGAGCACATCCTCCAGCATCAGCGAGCTTCCGGGTGAGTCACCAACTGGAGTCCAAATACAAACCTTCAGGAAAGAGACCTTGCCCTGATCACCGGACCCCATATCTGAGCTAAGCTAATAGGATGTGGGGAGAATAACCATTCTCATCAGAAAACTTTTTTTTTTTTTCTTGGTCTTTTTCCTTTTTATCGGTACCGGGGATCGAACTCATGACTGCCTGCTTGCAAGGCAGGTGCTTATGCCACTGAGCTAAATCCCCAGCCCCTTCTCATCAGAAAACTGTGGCCACATTCTAGAGCATACTGGCAGAATTCAGGGGTCTCAGTATCACTCCATGATCTTCCAAACCAGGAATCTCATGAGGAGGAGGTCTGGGAGGAAAGGACCCCATGCGGCCATTCTTTCTTACAGGCCCTATGGCATCATCATGTATGTACAGTTGTGGGACTGTCTGCTTCCTACTTGGACTGACAGAAATTCAGTTCCAAGAGGGCAGGACCCACATTGGTTTTGGTCCCTGTTGTCCAGCCAGGTGCATGGCAAAGGGACAATGCCTGGAAATGCTTGTGCACTGAGTGTAGTTCGGTCATGGGCGATATGTCTCTGGGTCATGGAAAGCCAGATGTCCAAACTAGGATAGTGGCAAAAACCAGGAAAAGGAAATGCAGACACACTCTGGGCATCAATGCCACCCCCAGTGACAATGGGTGAGTGACAGTTAAGGGTCACCCAGCCTTGTCATTTCAGTGACTGTCCTGTCAGCCAAACCATTCTTGCAAAGGAAATCTCACTCAAGATCAAATTTCTACAAAAGTTTACAGGGCACCAGTTCTAACCGAAAGGAAAGTTGGGAGGTAGGGACCCCAATAGCTTACCCACCACCTTCTCTATCCTCCCCACTCCCTCAATATGAGGCCCATGAAGGAGAAAGGGGACCTTTTCACAAGGTCTCCAGGAAATGACATTAGCATGCAAGCCAGGGTAGATCCAAGCTTCCCATTCTCCATGCTACTGTGCTTTGCAAGACTCTTTGCTGTCACTGACTCCACCAATGTGTACAATGCCACATCAACAGTAAGAAACTCCTACACTGTGGGTGCATGGCCTCCCAAGGGACTCAGAAGCCTGAGGACCGATCAGAGAGGGACAGGACCAACCCAGACAGTCTACGCAGGTCCCATTCCAAGGCCTTCACATGGCATTAATTCCCCCCTTTCTTCCTTTCAGATCTCAATGCAGAAGTTTCCCAAGGAAGATTTTACAAGAGAAATTTAAACCGCTACTATCAGGAGCACTGGCCCTTCCAGCCCTGCCTCATCGGGAGACCCTGAGCTTTCTAGTCAGGGGCACCCACGCAGGTCTCCGGCTGCACAACTGCAGAGGGTCTCCACGAGGAAGAGGACAGTGCGCAGGAGTCATGAAGACTGATTCAAAAACTCCCTACAGGAGAAGATGATGTTGGAGCCATTCCTGTGTCACCTTGTAGACCCCTTCAGCTCCTGACACAGCCAGGGCAGGAGGAGCTGCCTCCAATTAAAGTTCTTGGTCACACAAGAGGACATGTCCCTCATCTTTTCTTTTCCCCTTCCCTATATCAGGGAGTACCCTTACAAATGAGGTCTTACATTTTTAAACATATTGTCACATCTAACTAACCCAGACAAGATGTTTTGGGCATCTTTTTTTTCTACATTTTTACAGTACAAAATGTTTGCAGTACAAAATGACCACATTCATTGTGTGGGCTTGGTGCATGAACATAATACATTCTAATTCTTTTTACATCCCCTTTCTCTCCTTCCCTCCCCTTCTCCCATCTCTTGATATCCTCCTCCATTTGCAAACCTGAAATAATTTCAGACTTGCAGAAAAGTTGCAAGACTGTTTAGCAGCTCTGAACTGCTAAGACTTTTTACCTTTACCCAGATTCACCAATTGTTTACATTTCCCCAATTTGCTTTATCATTTTCCCATTTCTCCTTGTTATTTTCTCCTGGCTCACTGGAGATTCGTCATGTCCTTTTGCCCCTAAACATTTCAATGTAGGTTTGCTACAAGCAAGGCTATCCATGAAGCTATCAAAAACATTAATTCCAACATTGACACAATACTATTCAACTTTCATCAGATGAGGATCTAATCCAAGATCAAGAATGACACATTGTTGTCATGCTCCCTTCATCTAAAAGTGTTGTCTTTCTGAGTTTCACTTTTCTGAAGACAACAGACATAGTTATTTATAAAACAGCCCTCCGTTGGGGTTTATGTGAGGTTTCCTTCTGGTAGATTCCGGCTTTCCATTTGGGGCTGGAACACCACAGAAGCCATCCTGGTCCTCCTCAGTGCATGGTATACGGAGACATGTGACAGAGTGACATGTGGGTGACAGTGGAGACCATCTGACCCCCTGCCAGCCACTCTACTTCTCTACTCTGTTGATTTTTTAAAAATTATCAGAAACCCTTTTATAGCCTAATAACTTATTTTTAATCTTATTACAGTCTTTTGGTTAGTTTGTAGTTGTTTTGGGGGAACTGAACTGGGATTCTACTTCATTCTTTAATTTGCTTGACACAAGTGTTTATAAACTGGGGGACAAAATAAAGTCCCATCTCCCAAAACTGTCTTCATCCCATTTGCTGAACCCTGAAAACATGTAAAGGGAGGTGAAGGTAACAGATTTGATCAAGGCTGCTAATCAGTGATGCTGAGAAAGGGGTGTTACAGTTTACATAGGAAGTGTCCCCCCAAACACCACGTATGGAAGGTGCTAACTACATCAATGGATCAATCCACTGACATTATAGCTAAATGCACTGTTATGAGGTAGAGGATGGTTGGAGGGAGCAGGTTACTGAGTGTGTGACCTAGAAAGAATGCTCTTTCCCCAGTCCCTTCCTCTCTCTCACTCTTTCCCTACTTTTCTGCTTCCTGACCTCACCCCCTTCCCTCAGTCTCCTTCTGCCATGATGTGTGTTTCTGCCTTAGAGCCAGCCAATCATGAACTGAAAATTCTGAAATGCTGAGCCAAAATAAACCTTTCCTCAAGCACCTCCTGAGAATCAGCCATGCTGCAAGTTGGGGGACCAACCAAGAAAGCAATGAGCCAGCCTTCCTAGTAAGCAGCATGAGCTGCAGGCGCTCCAGGGAGAGAACAAGTCAGCCAGCATCTCCCATGAGCCTAAATTCCCATGTCATCTCCCCGCTCCCCACACCATTAGCAACTGGATGGTTTCAAGGTCAGCCAGAGTTGACAGCAACTAAGCAACATAAAGCAACTAAATGCTTGTACTGCTTAGTTGATTATGCTGATAATGGGGCCAGAGGTCTGAGCATCTCTTCGGAGGATGACCGTATGCAATATAGCAAATATCGGGGATTTCCTTCTATCTCATCTTTGAAGGCCAATGCTGTTTTCACTGTTTTGTTTTGTTCTGTTTGTTTTGCTCTATTCAATATTGTTTTGATTGGTTTTATAGTGTTCTGTTTTTGGTTTGAGATTGATTGAATGGACAACTATTGTGAAGATAACAAGATATACTGTGGTAGCCACTACTGTTATCCCGTATCCTGCTCTGAAGTTCTGTACCAATTTCACTGCGTTGTCTTGATTGGCTTTGTATTGTCTTGTTTTGTTGTATTTTACTATCTTTAAATAAATAAACCTTTCCTCCTTTAAATTGTGTATGTCAGGTATTTATTTCACTCCAAAAACAAAAATACTTAACCCCAAGATAATCCTCCACTTATCTGGGTGGGCTCAATCCAGTCACATGGAGAGAAACTGAAACAGTAGATCTTGTCCCTGCAAGTGAAATTTTATAGCCTTCTGTTCCCATAACTTCCTGTTATGTCCAAGCAGGGCCACCAAGATACAAAACTGTCACAGCTTGGCAAACCACCTTGATCCACCTTCAGGATGCCCACAAGCTTCATGCCAACAATCAACCCCCTTGGTGTATAATAGCTGGAACCTGTCCTTTGTTCTTTGCTCAGCCACTTAGATTTATCAGCTAAGCCAGAGTACACCTAACAGTAAAATCCTCCTGTTTCCCATTTGGTCTCTCCTGTTTCTTAAATTCTGCAGCAAAACTGTCCAGCTCTCAGGCAGATTTCTTGCACAGTAGCACAGAGACTGGAACAGGAGGAAGACGGCAGCAGCCACCGGTAATTCACCAACAGTCCCTTCCTGGAAGAGATAGAGTTACATGGGCACAAACTATGTGTAAAACGACTTGATAGTATCAACCTTGAACCTTTAAGATGCTTCAGCCTCCTTTTATGTCGCCTTGTCTAAAATACCTAATACACTCTGTGCCCATTTCCACAGCTGTCAAATGAGCACAGTGATGGTACCTGCTTGCGGCATAATGAAATATTGGCCCCAAATCCTACTCTTCTCTGCCACATCTTCTTGAGTGAAGTGTGTTTTTGTTCCCCTGGGCTCTGTCACATGTTGCTTGGCCAGTAGAAACTTAGTGAATGAGACCCACATGCTTGCTAGCAGACTGTGTTTTTCCCGGGGAGGCCACCTCCTTCTTGCCTCCATCACTCGGCGAGAAGAACATAGCCTAGATGTCCTGCTAATCCAAGAAGGATGAGAGACACACAAGGCAAAACTACCCAACCAACGTGATGGACACGGGGGACAGAGGGAAGGGCTACTGAGAAGGTCAGGAGAGACCCTCCCTCCTTCTGACCTTCATGGTCCAGTCCAGGCTCCTATGCCCCCCCAACATTCCCTGGTTCCCAGCCCTGTGAAATCACACCCATCCTCCCATCTATTTTGCCAGCTGCAGTTGAGAAAGGTTCAAAACTCAGACCCACAAGCCAGAGGTGGGGAGATTTCTGTACTAAAAGCATGCTTACCACTCGTGGACACCTGCTCACATCATCAGATGACACCCTTCATGACCTAACTTTCTTTCCAGTCCTTCACCTGTGCTGAATGACCCCAGAGGGCTTCCCAGACCAGAAACCCTCCAGCCTGACCTCACTGACCTGGCTTGTTCTAGCAACCTGCTGTGGGACCTGAAGCTCACGGACCACTGCTTCCATCTAGAGGAGGGCACCAGTAGTGCAAGACGCTCCACTTCTGACTCCCCTTGTCACCATCCTGAATTACTGAGTACTTACTACATGCAAGAAACCATGCTGATTTTTCTGATGCCTTTGTTTCTATCCTGTTGTATCTTATTGAATATTATGTGTGATAAACAAATTTTCTATGGAAAATGAGATAATATAGTAGCCATTATTCGTTCTGTGTTATTTGGTTCTGAAAGTCCTGAATGCTTTCATTTTCTTGAATGGTTTTATACTGTTTTTTTATGCTTGATACTATTGTATATGAAGCTATGCTCAACTATTTCAAAGAAAGACACACTATGATAGTTACTGTTAATTATGGGTTGTCTTGTGGTGAAATGCTATGTTGCTTGTATTGTTCTGATCTGATCTGCTTTGTTATGTCCTCTTTTGTCTTAATCTCTTTAAAATTAAAAAAAGAAACCATGCTGAGCACTGTCTATCCTACATCACCCAATCCTCACAACATAATTCTGGTTGGGTTTTGCCATCCTCCTTGCATGCGTAGGTAAACTGAGCTTCAAAGCGATAAAGTTGCTCCAAATTACACAGCGAGGTGCTACAGGAATCAGGAATCCAAGTCCAAGTAAAGAGTGTGTAAAAGTTTTTTGCACTGTGGCACCCCTCTGCCAAGCTTCACACAGAGCGTGGCCACTGAAACCGCTTACCACCCACCCACTATCAGAAGACAAGATGGTCCGAACATCCCCTCTGGAACAGCCTGGGCAGCACAGACTCCGGGCTCAGACAAAGGTATGCTAATAGGGCTGCAGATGTCACGCAAAAGGACAGCGCTTGCCCAGCATGCACAAGGTCTTGATCCCATCCTAAGCACTACTCCACAGCAGAAAACGAGCTGCACTAAAACCCAGCTGTTCCCTGTTCTTCCAACAGAAAAAATAAATGTGACACTCCTGCATGGTACAGTGGAGATGAAAGAGAAACGAGCTCATAAATGTCAAATGGTCTGCCTACGATGTCGAATAAATGCCGTGTTCTCCTCACAGTGCTTCTTTCTCTTCCAAAGAGAAACGCAAGGCTGAGGACACTTCTGTTTCTAGGGGTGGGAAGTGAAGGCCTGATCATGGAAAGGGGAATAGGGAAAGAACTGGGCACTGTGTTGTCCAACAATCAGAGAACGTTTCTGCATTTGTTAAGCCAACATGGAGAGAAGCCTTCTCTATGCACAGGACAGCAGGAACCTGTCACTCTTCTTCACTGCAGGATCCTCAGCCCCAAACATACAGCTTGTCACCGGTGCATCCTCAATAAATACATCTGTCCTGGTGTTCCTGGAAGATGTGTTCCAAGGCCACCCTTCACCACCCAACTCATGGATGCCCAAATCCCTTCCATAAACTCATCTGTAATTTGCCCATAAACCTATTTACGTCATCTTCTAAATCTTCAATCATTTTAAGTTACTTACAGTATCTAATACAATGTACATG